GTATTCATCATAAACACTGATGTGATGGAGTTCAAAGGAAGGAACCCGAAACGTTTTAATCACATACACGAACATGAACTCATATTCAGTGACTTTATTAATATTATATTGTAGTTTCCTCCATTTCTGTTAGCGAAAATCTAAATATTACAATATAAATATGATACTCTTATCCTCAGATCTCACTAACAATTTTCCTACCGTTTTACAAGGCCCATAATCTTAGTCTCTGCACCCACCGGAAGATGACACCAGTAGAATATATGATGTTCGGGCTTATCGGCGGTGATATTTCATGTAGCCTTCTGTGTTCTGACGTCGTGTAATATTGTAGGTGGATAACAAGTTCTCGGAGGAGCATACAGTCTCCATCTTAAGAGTAGAGTATGCAGCCATCATGTTCCTTAGGAACGTAGGCACGTACATTGCAGAATAGTTGTCCCATAACGTTGTAAACCTTATGAAGAGAGTGAGGATGTTGGAGAACTTGACACTGGGGAACATATTTGGACATAAGAGGGAGGAAATAACAGTATGAGGGAGAAATTACACATTAAGAAGTTTCGTAAAATATTATGACGTGTATATCCATTGCTAGGCAACGACAGTGTAAGCATATTCCCTCGAAGCATACGCATGCAATAGGACGTCCTTTGTCTGTTTTCAAGTGTGGTTTGAAAGGACTTTGTTAAAAGTTAGAACCAATTTGGTTCGTGCCCTTTATACTGCCTCTCTTTATAGGAAGTTGAGTGTCTACCGCCTCGTGATTCCATTGTTTGGTGAACAGGACTCTTCAGTTTCGTCCTGTTGGTCGGGCCGCGCTGTGTTGTTGATATATCCTTCTGAAGATGGTCTCTCAGACCGAAATATGTCAATGATGAAAGATTAAAAAGGAAAGGAAAAAAAAGTTTTATCAGCCACACTGACCGAAGTTGATTAACCTTTTGTAATATTGCTAGTGTGACGGACCGAGATGAACCAAATCAAATTCATGATCTTTTTTTTTTACAGACGGTATGACTCCTTATACGGGTGATCAGCTCGTCATAAGGCCTCTACTTGAACACAGGACAACACAAACACAGAATAAACACATATACACACCAAACATCCATGCCCTCAGTGGGATTTGAACCCACGATCCTGGCTTCTGAGCGAGCGAAGAGAGTACATGCCATAGACAGCTCGGCTACCGCGACTGGCGAAGAGCATCTTATAGCTGCATATAGAGTACACTACAATCAATGGAGTTACATATTTTTTAAACAAGAAAAGTCCTTTTCCACCTTCAGTTCATAGCGGGCTCGCAGCAGAGAATGGAGCATACTGGAACGGCATATCGGAATATGCAGATTAATCGTGAACCATGTTTCTTTTGTTAGAGAATTTTGTTGCCATAGAAACGGACTGCTGTAATGAAACAAAAGGGCAAATGCAAACAAAAAGGTACCTTCCTCCATTTTTTTATACATCAGTCTTTACTGTTTTTTTTTCTAATTTCCATTTGCTATTTCTCTTCCTACCCTGTTTACACTCAGAGCAACAGTATCCAGTCGAAAGCAACCGGACAGGGACATTCAGCCTGTCATACCGGACAAGAAGTTCTGGGAAGAACTAATCTCCTACTTTATTTGATACGACACGGATCGCATAGAAAACGACGAGTCCAACTGTTCTTTATTGTTGAACGCGCATTCGTCGCAGTGGTAACGTTTTTACCTAGCCGTTGCCTAGCAACGATAAAGGGATGCAGATACAGACAGACTGATGTGAGGTATTTATGAAGCATGCCGTTCAGATGGGCTCACATGCCATGATATATATACCAAGTTTCATAAAGACTGGTTCAGCCATTGAAAATTTGATAATGGTGGTACATAGATACACAGACAGCAAGGTTATCGCATAAGCCTACTTTCATTTTTTCACAACAAGGAAAGTAGGCTAAAATCACTTTGTGTTCCTGATTTTCCTTATCGAGTGATGAAAGTACGCCAAAACTAGGGCTGCAATGCTCTAAACGTTAAATAATGTTTATATTTTAGCTGTAAACATGCATGATTAATATTTCGTGGAAATCGAATGAAGTTTCCGACTGGCTTGTTGAGCGCCGAGTGGAGGACAACAAAACTCTGTGCAAGAGCGTGTAATTCCGCTCTGCGCAGTTAATTAGCGTCAAGTGGTTCGTCGTTGACAACGAGACGACCTGTTCAGGACATTGATGTCCTGGGGGGGGGGAGCCATGGCCACCGCTCTTATTTGTACATTACTGTATTTAGCCTTTTTGCAGACTGGTCGTAATTGCAACAACTCTGATGTCCTGACCAAACTATTCACTTCCAAAACTGTTCCATAACCTTACGCAATGTCCTCGCTTCGCTGTTATTAAATGCCACACGTACACTTCGCATTTATTATTATTATTATTATTATTATTATTATTATTATTAT